GCCCCGGGGCCGGCGGGAACCGTCCCTGCCCGCCCGCCGTAGGGAACCTGCTCGCCTGTCCCCCCGCCCTCTTACTTGAGCCTTGAGGGACTCAGCGATGAGCTGGGCCCCGCTGACAGCCTCCCCCTCCGCACCGCTCCCGGAGGCCATTCCCGTTCCGATTCCGGCCCAGGCCCAGGCCGGAGCCGCCCACCGGGGAAGCGGGCGGAACAGAACCCCCGGCCGAAGGTCGGGAGCAGTCGAGTGGCACGCCTTCCGACCAATGAGACAGCGGAGGGGGCGGGCGCGAGGGCCGCGAATACCCACCTCTGACCCCCGTGGGCAAGGCGGCGCGGGGACCGGGGCGAAGGCTGGGGGAGCCTCCTATTGGCTAGAGCGGGCACCCAATCAGAGGCCGGGAGGCGCCTAACGCTTCCCACGCAGCCGTAGGCTCCTGGCGGTGCCGCGCGCGGAGCGGCCGGCAGGGGGCGGCCGTGAAGCGGTCGGCGGGCGCGGAGGCCGGCGATGGGCGGTTGGGACGGGCGCCGGCGCCCCGCAGTAAGGGGCAGGGAAGCGTACGGGCCTGCGCGGGTCCCGGCGGGAGCGAGGGGACGTGCGGGCAGCGCTCCGCGCCTCGCCGAGCGATCGGCCTCGAACCGGGGGAGGCGGGAGCCGGGTGGTCGGCTTCGCTGCCCGGCCCGGGCTCCCCGAAGGCCGCGCTTGCCGGTGTGGCGGCTCGACCCGGAAGGCCTGTGGGAGGCGGAGGGCGAACCGCGGTTCTAACTGGGGCGGCCGCCTGGGCAGTGTCACCCCCGCCCCGCCCCGGCTCTGTGGAGTTGGCCGGAGCCCGCTGACAGAGCGGGGCACACGCGATACCGGTTCTTCTAGGTGGAGGTACCCGGCGCCAGCGTTCCTGAGGAGGAGCGGGAGCGGAGTGCGAGACGCTTCTCCACTGTCCTCGCCGGTGTAGCTGGCCGTGCCCGTCCTGGCCACGCCAGGCTTGCCCGTGTCCGAGGGGTGACACCGTTGACAACAGGTTCTGCCCCACCCCCTGACTTGTCGGTTGTGCTGCCATCTTGAGTTGTTCGGGCTGAACCGCCAACAACAGCGGCGTTCAGTTCAGCCGCACTCTGTCCGTGAGGTCACATAGATCTTTTAATTATGAGACGAAGTATGCTTCAGGAGTGCTGTGAAATGTATATAACACTGTGTTAGAATGGGCAGCGTTCTTTAAAAACAGATTGCGCCTCTGGATAAAAGCCAGGAAGCTAGAGCAATGTTATATAATGTGTTGCGCACAAAACGTTTTTCAGAAAGGAAATGCACGATACCTGTTTACGTTGAGCTATGATGGCGTTGCTAAAAAAAAACCCCAAACTTCATAAAAAGCTGTTACAGTAAAATACTGTATTAAAGTACAGTGCAGCATATAAAAGCAGGAGACTGGAGGGATCAGTGGAAAAAAACTTAAATTTCCCTGTATTTTTACATCCGTGTAGGAGCTGTTATATTATATATTCTATGTGTTAGAATGACGGCAACATCACAATTCATGGATATCACTTAATGTGAAAAAGACTTTTAATTATTTTTTTTATAACAAATTTAATATTTGGCCTAGTAATGATTACTGGTTACATTACTATAGCCTAACAGGCACTTGCTATTTATTGATCACTTAAGAGGACCCAGACTAATGCTGTGCTACTTCTGCTTTTTATAGTCTTGTGAGAAATGCACTCAAGCTGAATTTCATGAATTTTACAAGTTTATTGTAGAACAAAGGCAAACAGCGCTGGGCGCATGGTCAAAACCAGAGGCGCGCTGGTTATACCCGAACTCACCTTTTAATACACTGTGTTCGTGGCGTTTCCAAGGGGTTATTTTAATATTTCAGGTATCTATTAACATAACTCCACCCCAGACCACCCCCACTCGCGCGCATCTCTTGTGGTTCGGAGGGGCCTTCGGGGATCTGCAAGGGATGAAGTTAGTAGTCTTCCTCTGGCTGCACTTTTCACCCTGTCATTTTCCTCCAGTCACACTTTTCAATATTTTCACATTAAACTTCTGTTTTTCCTTTGTTCTTCTCGTATCTTTCATGTCAAATAATCTTTGATCCCCCAAATGCTGTTCTCATGTTAACAAATCACTCCTTATCGTCTTACTTGTGTTCTCAGTTTCACTCGTCCTTGAGTCCATATGTCTGTTTTTCTGTGTTTTCACAAATCTATCTACACATCCTTTAATTACTTGAGTTACAGGATGTCTTATCTCATCAGAAGAAACTATATATTCTGCTTGTGCCCATTTATTGCCTACAAACTATAAAATACAATTGATGTCTGGAATATATCAACTACATATTTCCCCTGTTAAGGCCTAATTTAGTGGCAGTGAGGCAAACATCCTTTCGGGATGTAGCTTATGCAGTAGTTAGGCAAATTTCAGTGTTCTCATTTTGCAAAAGCCAATATACATTTCACAGTCTGTTGGATTCTTCTGAGTATAAAAGTGCTAAGAAGCAGGATATATATTGCCTTTCTCTGTGTATACATCTATGTATGGTGAGAGTTGACAAACTCCTAAGTTTTCCAAAGTTGTTGAAAAGTGGGTGACTGGATGATTTACTTTACAATGCACTGAGATTAGATGGTTCTGAAAAACTGTATAGGAAAACAGTCTGCACTGTGACTGGGGGAAAAACTTGTCTGAATTGGCATCCAAGCTTAAACACCAGTCTTTTTACCTTTTGTATAGAACTGTACCTAGAATACTGTGACTGTGTGACAGTAATACTGCTATGAAATACTTATATTTGGGTGAGATGATCCTACTGAAGCATATCTGCCAGGCAAAAGACCACATAAATCACAGGAAAGGGCCAGAAAAAGAGATTAAATTATAAAGCATTTCCATTCATGAAAATTTCTTTTAAAGTCACGGTGCAGGTGAGGGGACAGCTCTGTACACCCGGAACAAATTAACTTCTCTTCAAGGAAAGGATTTATTAGATGGTGTAGCACTTCCCGTTAGGGAAAAAAAAACAGAACGTGGCTGAGACTTACGTGGACTCTCACAGCCTAAGGGCTGAGTAAACCCTGCTGGTATCCTTATTGTGGCTGGAAAGGTTACTATCCTCAAGCCCAGCCCTGGAGCTTGTCACAGCTCTCCTTGTTAGAAGCAATCCATTAGATACCAGGGTTCTGTTGTTTAAGCTATCAAATAGGGGAGAGGCATTAGGGAGCACTCGCGTAAGTGCTCAGCCATCACCTGTGGGACTAGCAGTAATTGCAACCAAGGGTAAGGACTCAGAGGAATTATTTTAGTTATTGAATGATTTGATTTATTAAATTATTTTAGTTGGCCCAGGTTCAGCCAGATGGGATTGTGTAGTGGGATGTTCATTGCTAAACTTCTTGCGTATCTAAACGAGGAAGGGATTCAGGTTAGTACTTTGAGTGTTTCTGACCACCAGGAAATAAACCGTGCCAGAAAAATAAGAATTCTCCAAGCATGTCTGTAAAATACAACATTCTGTAGAAGCCCATTACCTGTTAATTTTTTTTGTTAGCGTGTTTGGCTTAGAAGGCCAAAAGGCTATTTTTCGAACGCATAGCAATTCATCCTGTGATCTAAAACTCTCCAACTTTTTCCATCACTAGTAATGATGAATTCTGATTACATCTTAGTTGATAACTTTATTGAGGAACGGCTGACTAGAACCCATTCCTGTCCTAAATAGGCGTTTTGGCTCTGAAGGTATGACAGAAATAGAAAAGAGAGTTTTGTCAGTGAAATGCAACCCAGTGTGTTTTCAGTGCTTCCTTAACTGTTAGAGGCTTCCCATCTCTCCTCTCCCTCCCCCTGCTACTGCTTTGTATCTTCACGTGTACCTTGGTACTTCATTTGCAAAGCTGAGCTGCACAGGACAAAGTAGGATCCTCTATTCTTGATAAATATTGTGAAATCACCCCCCCCCATAAGTACCGTGTGTTTTCCTCAAGATGCAGAATAGCAAAAGTAGCTTATTGTACATCACTTCTCAAAACTGTTTATAAAAATGGAGTATCTTTAATACAACTCTTTACAGGGATGCCAAGGCTTTATTCTGTTTTCATTGTGCTTTAGGCAACTTAAATTTACCCTTGAAGTCATGTATATATGGACAGATCAGCATATTAAGGCTCAGGAAAATATGAATATGTAGGTAAGCTTAGCAGCATCTAATAGCCAAGTTACTCCTGCACTCTTACAAGTGTTATTAGATACTAAAGCTTTTTTGTTGAGCAAACAAGTCTTCTGCCTACCGTGGACACTAAGGTTATGATTTTTGTGTCCTACATGGCACTGTATTGCTATTAAACCAGTGTTGCAAATAGCGTGTAGAGCTCATGGAAGCAAACAAATGGCTTAAACTAAGATACTACTTCCTAAAGGCTTTTTGAATAGCTTTCCTCACACTTCAATTTGTTCGTTGTTAGATAATAAACCAGTTGGTGTTTAGAAAAAAACCCAACAGTATTGAGGGTTGCTTATTAGCTGCTTTTCATTCTGCAATTTAAGAAAAGGGATATTTTAAGTTAACTTGCCATAGGCTTTCTTCTTTAGGTACAAAACTACATTTAATATAACATGAATAAAAATTAAAATGGGATTAGTTTAAAGTTGATCTTTTTTTCCAGCTGAACTCCTAATGGGAAGTGGAGAAGGTTCTTCATGCATGTGTCTTTCAGTCTGTATTTGCTTTGGAAAAATTCAGGGAGTTGTGGATCACAAAGATTGAAAGGCGCTAAGAGCTTTTTGGAACATTTTTTTCTTGGATAAGAGTTACCAAAGAGCAAATAAAATTAAAAAGTCAGCAACCTAACTTGGAGACTGTAGGCTATCAATATATAGCATCAGTGCATCTCTCCTGCATGCTCTTTCAGCTTCACTGATATTCAAGATTTAATTCCTTAATGATACTAGTAACACTGTGGTGACAAATACAGAATTCTCATGTTGTGAGAATAATTGTGAATAACATGGCATTTCTATAGTATTTCTGAAGCATTGCATAGCCGTTGACTGTGTCAGTCAGTCCTTGCTCTGTATAAGTAAGTATATTCCCAGTTTGGGAAGTCAAAAGGCTAAATGGGGAGCCCATATTGGAAAGAGTGCCCCAGCCTTCCAGACTCACTAATTCTTCATTTCTTTCTAAGAAGAGCTCAGTAATGCAAATTTTCTGCATTTTGTATGGATTTTTGCTTTATTGTTATTATTATGAAAGCATTTTTTAACCTTACTTATCTGCATTGTATAGGAGGAATGCAAATC